GGGTATGAGTGAATCGTCGAGAAGGAATAGGGGTAAAAGGAGAGATAGAGAAGGCCAGAATACCTCAAGCTTTCCATATTATCCACTACTGGGGTTGTTCTCTCAAACGACGTTCGGCGTCGTCGTCGTCTCCGTCGTGAGAGTGAAGGCGTGCGCCGTATGGCAGGGATTCGATAGTGGGGGAGTGCGGGGTGCCTGGAAGAGGGGGAGGAGGGGTTGAATATGTGGGAGATTGTACAGTTGAACGAGGAGAAAGACCGTAGGGTTTTCAGTAAGGAGGGGCAGGAGAGAAGGATAAGGGGAAGGTTGTGGAAAAGTCCTTGTCGAGGGAAGGGGAGGGATTCGTCCAGTGGACTAGGAGTTTTTGCTTTACACCGTTTATACCAGTTTTCGTGGCACCGGGTGCACCGGCTACAGGAGGAGGTAACCCGAGAAATGAGGTTATCCTCGGTGAATTTTCTCGGGTCCCTCCTCCCAAGTGTCCAAGACTTGGTCATCAGGTCTGTGTGAAGTATTGGTTCTAACGTTTTTTGTCCAGTTGCCATACGACTTTCGATAATAAGGGTTAGGGATCCTCAGAAGGAAGAGGTGGTAGTCGGCAAAGGAGGGGGTAGGGGGTAGAGGGTGGAAGTAAGGTTAGGAAAAGACGCTTGAGAATGTGGTGAGGAGACAAACGCTTGAGGGCGGTAAAAGTAGGAGCACAGGGGTCTGGGTGGAAGGGGGTGAGAATGGAATGAGAAGATACGCCGGGGCTCTTTAAGGGGGGTAGGATAACGCGGGGTGAAAAGGAGAGAAAGGTAGGATCCCTGAGTTGAAGAGAGAAGTTGAGGGTAGCTGGCCAGAAATTTCGCGACCGCGCACCACCTAAGACAACGCCCCTACTCCTCTCGGCAATACACACTACTCAAAGCGGTGTTCTTTAAGGCACTAGGGGGGTGGCTTTTAGTCAGACGCACGCGGTCTGAGACGCGCGCCACCACCGGCAAATACGTTGAGAGAAGGACTTAGCATTTCTCGTGAGCCACATAACCGAGTCAGTTCGGGTTTTCCTACTCCTTGTACAAGGACTCGTGAAATATTTTTACCCCGAATTGAACTGTAACCCCTTGGTATATATTTTTCATCGACAACCGGTGATAAAGTTTGATGAGTTGTAACGCGTTATCAAGTTGTGCGGAATAAATTCGATGTTTGGTTGTCCTGGAATTGATGCCAAGACATATTACTTGACAAACTTCGGTTTTGTAGTTGTATACATTTGTTTGATATCCCATGTTTTGTTGATGATTCGTCAACTTATTAGTTACTTACCGCTCGGTATGAGTCAGTTGTTGTAGTTGAGGTGTTCAGGATTCATAGGTGCTTCTTAGACGTCTGCAAGATTGGTGGTCTTCGCTGTTTTGTTTGGCGGATATCTGGATTCTCTTGGGTCTCGTGTAAGACGTCTTCATTCATGTTAAAATTGCAACGAGGGCTTGTGTAACACCATCTGACTACATTTGACGAACCAGTAGTCGACAAAAGAGTGATTGTCCTCGGTCTTTTGTGGTCACTGATGGCCGGCTGCATGATCCCAAAACTTTTCATTTTCGACTGGCTTCATTCATGTCCAAATTACACAGTTCTACCTGCCTCCATCGCTTCCTTACCATCTTCATGATCAGTGTCAGTGATCATCTATCAAGTGTAACATGCAATCAATCATCAGTGATCACAAAAAACATCGCAATCATTCGAATCAAAGTATCTACCCCCATGTGTATCAATTCGTGAAGACCCACCGGATGTTCAATCTTGCTGGGTTTTCTTGGACTGTTAGTGGTGGAAGTGAAAGTTTGAGATGTTGCAACGGATATCAGAAAATCAGTGATGAGTGGTTATCAAAATGATTATTACTTCAGCTCATCGAGGCATTTCATGCTGAAGTGATGGACCAAATTGCCTCGCCTATCAATAGCTTCGTCTCGTTCAATTTTGTTTAATATCAACTCTGAATGACTGCATCTAACTTTCATTTCCCGCCTGTCTCTTGTATGTTTCTCCATCATATCAGGGGTAGTCTCGTTGAAAGTGTTTGAAAAGAACAAAACTGGCGCGTTTTTCCGGCCAAAAAAGTTGTCCTTCGCTCACTATCTCCTTCTACCTTTTCCTTTTTTCCCGCAATTCCTTTTATTATTCCCTTCGTCGGTAACAGGTTGTGGTTGTACGAGCAAAAAAATGAAGAAAGAGAACAAATAAAGGGGAGAAAGAAGTGAAAGCCAAACCCGTCGCGAGTGACTCTTTGCGTGATTTCCGACGGTTTTTTTTCCATTCCCTTTTACACTTTCTTTTTTACGTCAGTTTTGCCTCTTTGACAGGCCTTTGAGGGAATCATGGGTGCAAGAACTTAGCGACGGCTAGACGACAACTGACAGTTCTGAGATATTTACCCCATTCGCGGATCACTAATTGACAATTTAAAATTCTTGATGTTGACGAATCTGTTATTTTTCGCGGCAACCATTTTTCACGTTCTTTTATTCTCATTTCCAGTCGTGTGACATGTGTCAGTGCATTTTCAAGTACTTCATTATTAACTCCTCTGTTTTATTCTCGGTAAAAAAAAACACCACTGACCAGATCCACCACCTGTACAAATGAGAGAGAAAGTGTCACCGTGTGTTACAAATGTCATGTGTCTCGTGGTTATTCCTTCAGAGAATAATAATAATCCACAGTCCCTGAAATAACCCCTACATTGTTAGGGAATTTAAATTATCGAGCTCGAACTCACCAGGCGAAAAATAATAATTTTTGGTGATTTTTGTTTCAGCTTCGAGCGGGAGACGCATTGCAGCGAGATATTCCCGCGCAGGAGAGGAAGACTGGACAAAGCGGAAGAAGCTGAATAAGACGAGAAGAAGAAGATAAAGTGGGGAAAAGAAGAAAAGTTGTTTTTTTTTAAAGAAGCTCACAGTGACGAAGTGGAGTGAAGAGTAAAAAAATTTCCGAAGATAAAAGAATCAAGGAGAATCAACAGTGTAAAAGATTTTCTGATTGTCGGAAATAAGCGGGGGCGCGAGAGAGAGTTTGATGCGAGAAAGTTTTCGAAACAGATGAGGTGGAAGAGTGAGCAAGTTGACAGTGTCGATTGAATCTTCAAAATTTTTGCGAAAAAATAAATCATAAACCGCCAAAATCAATCACCAAATAATCAGCCAAAATTGAGCTCGACCCCCCCTGGAGAACGTGAAAGAGCCGCATACATATATATTTCAGTGTGTTCAAAAAAAAAAAAACGAGTGTACCTAAGTGCAATATTAATTAAAAACTCTTAAAACGATAATAAGAAGAAAAAAAGTAACCATCAACAATCGGTTAATATGCGGTTTTAAAAAGATGAAAACTTGATGAGAATCGAAGATGCTGAGAGATTAGAGTGAGGAAAGTTAGATGAAGTTAAGTGAAAAAGGAGTATAGATAAAGAAATCCTCTAAGACGCATAGAGTCGCATTTCTCGAGAAGGAGTCGTCAACGGACAATTGGTTTAAAACAAAACGACTTACCGGAGGAAAGATAGATCGAAGAAAATTTAAGACATCCAACATAACGAAGATAACAACGCACAGTTTGAGGAGTGTATCATCCTTAATCAACCAAAATCAACTGTTTTCGTTCCGATATAACTTACACTTAATGATTAATCTACACGCAGTATTACCTGCAATTACACACACAACATAACATAGTACATAAAACGGGGCAAAAACTCAGGGCAAAACGGAACGAAACAGCGCTGTCATCGATATTAACAGAATAAAGTGGGTGATTTGAACTCTTAGAAAGTGAATACTTCGTTGAAAGCGTATTTGAGAAGAATTTATAACATCGTCTCCTTCGAGCGAGTCGTGTCCGTGGACCTTCGTCTCGTTCACACCGTCCGGGCTGGGCAATCCTGAATTTAACCTGAACTTAAGTGTATGATAGGATTTAAGTAGATAGAAAGAAATAGGCTGTTCTCACGCCGAGAGGGACAACCACGCGCACATTAATCAATTCCATAACACGACACATCACACAATAGACAAGTAACGAGACGAGACAGTTCTTAAGTTAGAGAGGAAAACAACCATCGAAACAAATAAGCAGTCTGTACGTGAAGAAAGCTATTCAGACCCATTGGATCAACTGTTATCAAGTAATCGTGTAACTGCTAACCTGCTTTGATGCGCAAAAAAGATCCAGGTGAGTCAAGGAAGAAGAAGATTAAAAGGGTGACGTATGACAACTGACATTGCGCCCATTTAATAACATCAAAACAAGCCTAAATCATAAGAAATACTAATCACAATACAAAGGAATAGTGAGAGGCAGTCATAACGACGTGTACATCATACTGTGCTTCAAGGGTGGGTGGTTACGGCTACCCATCAGTGGTGAGTAACGGCGGTTACGCGCCACTACACCATCGAGCTGGTGCTACTTAACGGTAGGTGTGCCAAAAAGCGGGCAAGCTGCGCCGTAAAGGGGTAGCACGGGCTTCGCGCGAAGGCCTCAAGATTTCAGACGCGACGGCGGCCCTGGACCTGCGCGCACAGACGCAAGCCCAGCCGGATTTTGTTGGCCTGGAGCGGCAGCATCTCCATCCGCAGCAGCACCAGGTCCAAACAAGTCCGGAATTACATCAACATAATCAACAACAGTCACAATTATCGCAGCAACAACAACAGCGTATACCACTGCACAGTGAGCATCATACACACCATCATCATTTATCAAATCACCATCATCCTGGAGATACGGGGGGTGGGTTAGGTGGTGGTGGTGGTGCTGGTGGTAGTGATGATTTAGGTGTTATTGGTGGTAACGGTGGAGAACAAACGACAATTGGTGTTGTCGGTGCAGCCGAGGAGGCAAGAAGGCTGCAAGACGACGAGGAAGATATTACAGAGAGAGAGGACGAGGAGGAAGACGAGGACCCGAGCTCGCCGGAACCGGACTTGGAGCCGGATCCCGAGCCAATGGAGGTCCAAGCATCTGCTGTATCCGCAGCAGCAGCTAATTTGCATGCACTACGACAGCACGTATTTAAAATGTCGGATTACTGGCAACAGCCCCAAAGAGGACCACCTCAACATTCACCGGGTATACAGCACAGTCCTGTACAGAATACCCAAGCACAGAATCCACAGGCCCAAAATCAGCAGCAACATAATCAACAGGCTTCCATGCACAGTCCACTTGGACAGGCCCAACAACAGCAGCAGCAGCAACAGCAGGGCCAGCAGAACAATGGTACTGTCACACAAAATCCAAGCTTAGGGCAAAATCAGACGCAATTGCAGCAGCAACAGCAACATGCGATAGCAATGGGCCAACAGACACCACAGGGACAGCATCAGCCCTCATCAACACCTACAACACCATCGCCTCAGGGCGATCATCAGGGAACGATAGCCGCAAGTATGGCGCAGAGTCTGCATAATCTGGCTCAAGCTCAACAATCAATGTCACAAACGTCTAGTCCGTCATTGGCGGCGCAAGCTGTTCAAGCCGCCCAAGCCCTCAATCCAAATCTTGGACAAGCCTTATCACAGGCACTCACCCAAAACATGCAGCAAAATCTTGGTCAGACATTGCAGCACAATCTAGCGCAGAGTCTAACACCGAGTTTATCGCCACAACAGCAGCAACAGCTGCTCAATCAACCCCAGAATTTGAGTCAAGCCAGCCAAAGTCTTCAGCAGAATTTACAGAATCAAGCGCAAAATCTAAGTCAAACGCTGCAACAACAAGCGCAAAATCTCAGTCAAAATCTGGGACAAACGTTGAATCAACAGACGTTACAGCAGCAAGCGCAAAATCTAAGTCAAAATCTTCAACAGCAGGCGCAAAATCTCACGCAAAATCTTCAACAGCAAGCCCTCAACATGGCTGGCTCAATGGTACAAAATGGTCTAGGTGGGATGAATGTTTCTGGCAATCAACAGCAGAACTCCCCGAATTCAATGCTGAGCCCTGGAGCAGGAAGCCAGGACTCCCACGATGCCACCCTCACCGAGAAACTTGTCAACGAGCTTCAGGTGAGCATCATCATGACAAAAGCTACTCTAATAATCAGGCTTCTGGGGTAATTGGTTATCTCCTTTGAAAACTGCTCGGTGTAGATCAATTATTAACAAATACTCTGGTACATTGGGTTGCTACTAAGGGAAACAAAACACTATCTGTACGGTTTTCTACATTAGATTAACATACCAACGCCTGTAGTCATGGGGTTCTTGACCCGCGCCAAATGCTTCATGATAGCCATCGATGAGTCAATGTTCACACTGTATCGTATATCCCAGGAATGAAGTGATGTCGCCAAAAGAATGCTAAATGGATACAATCAAGTTACAATCCATAAACCTAAAGATAACTTTGATCACAATTTTTCAACATTCAGATATTTTATTTTCAAATAATCGCAACATGATTGTATTGACAATCGGTAATTGAGTCATTTTGAGCAATATCTAAATTGTCAATAAATTATTCAATTCGCATAAACAGATGCAGGTGAAAAAAAAAATTTAACTTCAATCGTTGAATGAAGGTGTGTATTGATTCAGTACCGAGAGTAACGTCGTTAGAGGTGCGAGTTAGCGTAATTTTATGGCTACCTAATCGTCGTGGAGGATCGTAAACACGACGGTTGAGGATATACCCACGGCTTTACGTGTTTATACCCGTTGTGGTATATAACTATGGGCACGTGGGTTTCAACGGGAAAGGGGCGGGGGGAGGGGGGGGGGTAAAAGGT